AAAAAACTATTTAAATTTATAAAAAATTAACTTTCAAAAAAAAAATACAACTTTAGTATCGTCAAAGATTGCCTATGTATTAATGTTGCATTTTTTTATCCAAAAACAAAATAACAAAATATATTACAATATATTATGTCTTGAATTTTTTTCCTTTAAAAAACTATTTAAATTTATAAAAAATTAACTTTCAATACAGAAATACAACTTTAGTGTGTGTGTGTGTCACATGTAAAATATAATTCCTCGTATGCATATTTATATATAAAATTAATCTATGTATAAAAATGTATATGTAAAAATACATTGCGAGTAAAAATAAATTAACTATAAATATAATATTGTAGAAAATATGAAAAAAATATATTTTATGGTGACACTGCTTTGATGTCATCACATCGCATTTTGCACCATGAAAGCGACTATTTATGTAGCACGTTCAGTATCATCTCCTCGAAAGCTAATTTTGGTTTCAGCTGCAATATTGCGTCTCGATGATCAAAATATTTCGCGTAATATTTTATTATATTTTGTAATTGTGACATCATCATTCTATAAAAGTAACATTTAATTTTGTTAATCAAACTTCTTTCACAAGTTTTAGTCGAAGAGAATAAGATATTATTCTTTTTTTTTAGAACGAAGAGTCCAGTATTTTATACACGTGTGTATATGTACATATATACGTATATATACCATTTTAATTGTAATAATAGCAATTATAGTTTAAGAACTATATTTTCTATATAAGCATTCTTTCTCTATATTCTTTATAAAGCTATTAGCAATTAATGAGCAATAAAATTGATAAGAACTAATGTATAAATGTGTTACTTTACTGACAAAAATTAACATGAGTGTAATGGAACATACTTTAAGCCAACTAAATATTAAAGTTTGCAAATATAAATTAGTTTAATATGAATGTGCTATAGATACGATCTAACTTGATGAGAATTTTGCAATAATTCTGTCGCGATTACATAATAAATTCTTTACACGCATCGCACTTTGGCTTGCGACCAGCATCAAAATACGTTCCATCGTAACAAAGTGTAACGTACACCACATCTTCCGATTTCAAAAATTCCTACGTTTCCCGTAAAGATTTCGCAAAGAATTTTATAAGCTCTTCGCAGAGAAAAAACAAGAAGTAGCACTGTTTTTTTTTTCTTTAATGTCTGGCGTTGTTCCAATATCGAAATATTGTATCGATCGTGCAATGTCGTATCGATTTATTGTCGCCAGAATCTTGCCTTTCTAACGTTACAGTAACTAAGTCATATATTTATTTTATTAACATTTTATTAAACTTTTCGAGCTTTTTTTAAAGCGTAAATAGAGTAGAATAGATCTCTATTACACAAATAGAGTGGAATAGATCTCATATATACACATATGTAACATTTTTTTTAATTGTATAAATGTATAACAATTTACTGAAATGTAATTATTATAACGTCACATGTCTAAAAAAAATATTTATCTTTCTATTGTGGTTCAATTACATGTATATTAGAAATATATATTTCTCAAAATGTTATAATTATTTACAATCTAAGATGACTTGAAGAATAAGTTTAATAATTTTACTTATTATTGTGGTTGGTAACATCGGTAATGTTTTTATTTGTAATATTTCAGGCATCTGAAGAGTATCGGGAACATAGCACGCACAAAACACAACGAGCTCGTAAATCGCGGCAGAAACAAAATCAACACGTCGTTGAACAGCGCACTACAACTCTACAAGAAAGCTCTACAGTCACCACAAAACGCAGTAGTCAACAGGATTTATCGAAGAAGAATTTCAACGTTATTCGATTGAATTCCATCCCGTTACCTGTCGCTAGTGGTGGCACAGTTACCTGTAAGTAATATCTTCACAAAAAAGATTCATATTTGAAACATATTATTCTTTATTATTTTTGCACATAACAAGTATATAAATAACATAACAAGTTTTGATCGAGTATGTTTCTTCTACGATTGGCTAGAAAATATAAAAATACATATCTATGCCATGTACGTGTTTTGGCAATATTTATATCAATAATCTATTTTTTAGTTATTATAATATTTATCGGAATAAAGCAACATAAAAATGAGCTGTCATTTGAAAATAATTGAGTTTGAAGTAAAATTTTTGTCAATCGACGACAAGCGCAAGCAGCACGCAAAACTGTCTGACTTATTATTAGCTTATACTACTGCGGTGTTATTTGTTCCTTCACCGATCACAGATCATAATATTTTTATGTTTGTAATCATAATATTTATTTGTTTTATGTTTATACATTATATTTATTTTGAATTAATATTTATAAAAAAACGTAACAAGAATGTTACTTAATTAAAAAGATGTTTTTTTTTTTTTCAATTTTGTTGAAACAAATATTTTTTACATATAACACGCTTTCACCTGAAATTATTAGCTATATGTTTAATATAAATTATTCAAAATCTCTCTTTCTCTCTCTCTCTCTCTCTCTATATATATATATATATCGTGACTTTAACGTGTGAACGTAACATCGACATATTATTCCGCAGTTATTAATTTATACTCTATAATTAGTTTAACGACAATAGCCGGACACATTGCCTGGAGCCAAGCAGTCGCAGAAATAAATCTGAAATTTTACTGCGCAACATGTGTATATGTGCTGAGTTTTCTTGCTCTCAAAGTTTTACGACGTCAAATTCTTCTCTCTCATGCAAAATACATTTCGCGTTTTATATGCGTTCTTAAACTGTAGTTTCAATAACTTATATCCTTATTCTACAGCAATTAATGCATAAATCATCTTTAAACGCTTATTTAAACGTTTCTAACGTTATGTCGGAGGATGAACTGTCATTAATCATTCGTATCACATATCTTAACCGCACTTGACTTATGTCGTCGAAGCGTTACTCGCACTATACTTAGTGATAGTCCACTTGCAAACTGGATTAATTGACCGATAATGTAGTCTAGTATTTCGGGATCAAATTAGTAATTTGAAGATTTCAGTATGTCAAGGTAACTATTGTAGTTGGACTCTTTTGCAAGAAACAAATATATAGTTTAAGATACTTTCAAATATTTTTTTCAAGTATGGATCTTCTGATGAACGAGTTTATACTTTAATAATTAAAAAGACAACGCGAATAATGCCGATTTAATCGCACTTAATGTTCCGCGGTTGATTAACATATATTTATAAAAAGCGTCAGATGACAAATACGACGAAATACATTTCTTTTGCACTTTATCCACCACCTCGCCAAAAATATAGCGAGCTGGACAAGCCAGAAAAGAGGGTATGTATGTTGGATAAGCGCGACATACTGTCCGCGATATTAATATTAGGTGATTAAGTGGCTCCGGATGCGCGGGTACTCGCGGTTGGTCCGAAGCCGAGCCTCGAGATACCGCGCAGCTGAAAACGACGGCGGGTGTCCAGAAAAAGACCCCGATCGGACTTCTTACTTCATTCTTTCATCTATACTTTTTGCGAGAAAATCGACTGGAATGATTTTCCAGTCGACAAACTTGCTCATGATTTGTATTCGAATGGCAATGCTTCACATTTTGTCAGAAAATTAACATTTCTGCTGGAATTTTCCGCTGCATTTTTTTTATACAATATTAATATTATATACAATACAATATGTTATATATGTATATATGTATATATATATATGTATATAATATAATAATCATACAAATCTAGAGACGAATGTTGCCTAGATAAAAAGTAATTTTAAAAGAAGATGGTGGTGGTTCCTCCTTAACGAGGAAGATTACGCGATACCTTCGGCGCGCGCACTGATGCGTGCACAAATGATGGTGCACGGTTCAACGCATCCCGCCTGTCCGCAATTTGTCAAACTCGGCCGACACCCGTTCCTCTTCATAACGGCTGTAGCCGCGCGTGTTAACAGCTACAGCCTCACTTACCTGAAGACTTCCTTCGGCAAATGAAACGGCGTGCGCGAAAACATAACTGGGATGTTGCGCGCCAAAAGTCATCTTGTCTATCTTGAGAGTTTCCGGGTTTCTTTCCACGCGTTAACAATTTACGCCGCTTCCTATTAAGACGAACGGAGAAACGCGAATAGAGAAAAAGGATATAAAGAACTATTTAAAAAAATTGTATTTGGAAAATAATTTTGTCGGATAGGGTGGAATTTTTCTTTCTGTATCTCATTCTCTATGTTCTTTATGCATACTTCAAGTTCATCTAAAAGAAAAACTATCATATCACGTATTTTATTAGATTAAGAAAACAATCTTCTTCACGAAAGTGTATGTTCGGAAATATTTAATATTTTGAATATTTCTAAAGTAGTTTTGACTTCTTAATATTAAGATTTTTTTTCGTTAACTGAGAATTAATAATGATAATAACAACAATAGTAAGAATAATACTAGTAGTTGTAGTAGTAAATAGTAATAATAATGGTGATGATGATGATAATTTCATGGTCTTTCCATGTCGGAGCAATAACAAGTATCATGTTCCAAGACGACCTCGAGCCGTCTTTGTCAGTAATTGAAGGCAATATTTCAAGCAATAACGTCATCACGAGTGCGCTTAATGATGGTCGCATCGTCGTTCCCGATTTACCCCGATCGAGCGGATCCAGCGTTGATCTGTCGCGTAACATAGACCACGTAATCTATCCATTCGCGACAGATACCGTCGGTTATACCACACATCTTACATACAATCTATGTATATAAAATACATCTTCACTTCGACACACCTGCGTCATAAATCTTCTCGCACCAGGTGCAGGCGCCGCGACGCCGACTATTCGCTTTCTCCCACCCAGCCGCGGAATCTTCGCCTATTAGCGCCTGCGTGAATCTCCACAAGTTTCCCCCGATCATGTGCAACTGTCGTCCGATTAAAAGGGATAGGTCTTTCTGTGAAAAAGGAGCAAACGAGAGAGAAATCGTGGTCGTCGAAGAGAGAACAAGAGAGAGAAAGAGGAACAAGGTTGTTTGATAGTCGAGGCAAACTGGCGATCGCGTCTCTCACAAAGTCAGATTCTTCTGGTAACTAGGCTGGAAAAAACATCACGACCGGCTACGATAGCGACGGCCGGTTTCCTCGTCGTCATCATCGCTGACCGACTTTGGTGCTCGCGCAATCGTCAGTCGTGCCGGAGATACGTTCTCGAGAGGTCGACTGACAGACACTATCAGACTGGAGACTTCGAGATTGCTGAAAAACGTCGAAAGACGGTTTAACGTTCGGTCGCTTAGTGTCCTCAGGTTGTCCCCGCGGAACCCCTCGAGGATCCACGATATTTTTTTAGCGCGAACGATTCAGTGCGCTCAGAGACGATTTATCGTCACCTATTCTATTCCCGATCTATACGGGGATCTTGTTCCTGGAGTGTTGCCTTCGGCACGTGACGCGCATTGCGTCTGTAACTAAAGATTCTTTCACTCTCTCACGTTGATTTATTTCTTGTTCAATATTTCAAAATGACGTAAGACTTGAAATTTAAGTTTTTTTTAATTTTTGCAAAACAAATGAGTAAATCTATTTAAATATTCTTATTTTTTTTTAATTCTTATTTTTGCAAGTAAAGCTCAATAAATAATTTATAAATTATCTTTTAAAAAATTGAGGTATATTTTTATTGTCACATTGTTATTAAAAATATATATCTTATATTTCTTAGTTCTTCTTTAGTTCTTTTTTTCGGCAAAAAATACATTTTTTGATTTTTACGATAAGTGTAGAGTGAGAGAGTTTCTAATTACAATCGGGGGAAGAAAGGGGACGGGAAGAAGCATTGTTGCGACGATCGATTCGCGATACATAGTTTGCCAAGTGCGGCAAAAGTAGCTTTGTGCGATTTTGAAGTGTACTTTTTTGAAAATGATTTGGATGGACGACGACGCGGAGGTTCCAACCACGTGGCAGGAGATATCCACCTTCTACAAGGCTTGGTTGAAGAAGGTGTCTTGCAGTGAATTCGATCACCCCGAGAGACCAATTTGCTACGCTAAGGTCACTCAGGGAAACGAGGAAGTTCCGGGACCGGGGCTCAATTTTGCGCCGCTCATCTTTCAGAGTCTCTTCTATATTGAAACGAGAAAAGGTTTTGCATTTACACGCGAAATAATTTTTAGAGCAAACTATTCTTGTTCTAGCATATTTTTATATGTATTTGTATACATTTGAAAACAAAAAGAGTAAAAAGATCAATAAAATTGAAATTCAAGTCTTCCAAAAGCATCTTAGCATAGGAAATGTTTTCTATGCCATCAATATACCTATAATGTTTCTGTACTTTCGAAGAAACTTTCTTTTTTTGATTTTGTGCGCAAAAATAATCCCCGAATATGAAAAATGACGAGCATGACAAATAGTAACATTATTTTTAATATAAAATCTTGTTTGATTATATGTACATGGAAGACGCAAATTTATCACATCAGCTGCCAACCGCAGTGTGCTCGAGAAGAACCTCTTGCTTAGATTGTACTTGATATAAATGTCATTCTGTTTGTTTTCAGCTGAAGTAAAGATGCCCAGCGGAAACGTGGACAAGCCAGTAATCGAAGACAATCACGATGGCACGGTATCCATCAAGTACGAACCGAGAGAAGAGGGTCTTCACGAACTGATTGTGAAATTCAACGGCGAACACGTGCAAGGTAAATAAATCTATTTATCTCGCAAATTAATAGTAATTGTGCAGTAATGAGGTACGATCGATCGTATACGGAGAGAGAATTACAGAGCTTCTAAGAATAACACGCTAATCTCTATATACACGCGTGTACGATCCGGTAGGTATGTCCATTCGGAAACACGGAACCTATGTGAAAATTCATTTTCCGTGTAATAGGTCTTGCAAGCGCCAATTTATAGCTATTAATAAATCTCCTTGTCCGGAAAATTAATTTATTACTTCGCTCAACAAGAGATCATTAAGTTTTCCAATTAGCTCAAACATATTTAACGTGCACGATTATTATTATTTTATCATAACATCTACATCTTCTTATCAATGTTTATTTGACAAACTATTTTGGCAACGTAAAATTTGTTTTGTGGAACAAATGTTTTTTCTTCGCTCTTTATAACATTTTTCTTATTCATTAGTTTTAAAGATCTATCTTAAAGATTCGATTGTTTAAAATATTTTAACATTTTATATTTATAAAATATACAAATTAAAGAGAATATATAACATATATATACATATATATATATATTTATTTATTTATTCTCTTTAATTTGCATATTTTATATTATATAAATATTATTATTAATATTTTAGGTTCTCCTTTCAAATTCCATGTTGATTCTTTGGCGAGCGGATATGTAACGGCGTACGGACCGGGCTTGGTGTATGGAGTTTGTGGTGAACCCGGTAACTTCACCATCTCGACGAAAGGAGCCGGCGCGGGTGGTCTCTCTTTGGCTGTTGAAGGTCCTAGCAAGGCTGAAATAAGCTGTCATGACAATAAAGATGGCACGGTTTCGGTGTCGTATCTGCCTACTGCACCCGGAGAATACAAGATTACTGTTAAATTCGGCGATAAGCACATCAAGGGTAGTCCTTTTGTCGCCAAAATTACGGGTAAGTACATGACACGCAATTTATATTTTATGTTATTATGAAGTGTACGTGATTCGAAGTTATTTCTATCAAAACAATTTTCCGTTAAACGTTACTTTCAGGCGAAGGTCGCAAAAGAAATCAGATCTCCGTGGGTTCCTCAAGTGAGGTACAGTTGCCGGGTAAGGTGTCCGATGCCGACATCAAGTCTTTGAACGCATCTATCACGGCACCTAGTGGCTTGGAAGAACCGTGTTTCCTAAAGAAAATGCCGAGTGGCAACATGTGTGTTTCGTTCACCCCGCGCGAAGAAGGCGAGCACACGGTGAGCGTTAAGAGGATGGGTAAACATATACCCAATTCTCCTTTTAAGATCGACGTAAAGGACCGCGAGGTCGGTGACGCGAAGAAGGTTAAAGTCTCTGGTCCTGGCCTAAAGGAAGGCAAAACTCACGTAGAAAACAATTTCTCGATCGACACGAGAAACGCTGGCTTCGGTGGTCTCTCTCTATCAATGGAAGGCCCGAGCAAGGCCGAAATTCAATGCAAGGATAACGAAGACGGTACTTTGAATATCTCTTATAAGCCCACCGAGCCCGGTTACTACATCATGAATCTCAAGTTCGCGGACCATCATGTCGAAGGCTCTCCTTTTACCGTTAAAGTCAGCGGCGAAGGTAGCAATCGGCAGAGGGAAAAGATCCAGAGACAACGGGAAGCCGTGCCGATCACTGAAGTCGGCAGTCAGTGCAAGCTTACCTTTAAAATGCCCGCAATCACGTCCTTCGACCTTGCTGCCACCGTTACATCGCCTGGTGGCGTCACCGAGGACGCCGAGATCAAGGAGGCTGAGGACGGTATCTACGCAGTGGCGTTCGTGCCTAAGGAACTCGGCGTGCATACCGTGTCTGTACGATACAAATCTATGCACATCCCCGGCTCGCCCTTCCAATTTACGGTAGGTCCGCTCAGGGATGGCGGCGCTCACAGAGTTCACGCAGGTGGACCTGGTTTAGAGAGAGGAGAGCAAGGTGAACCTTGCGAGTTCAATATCTGGACAAGGGAAGCGGGCGCGGGCACTCTCGCTGTCTCCGTCGAAGGACCTAGCAAGGCGCAGATAGACTTCAAGGATCGCAAAGATGGCAGCTGTTATGTTAGTTATGTCGCTAGCGAACCTGGTGAGTTACATTAATTACACATTCTTTATCAATTGTAATTATCTTTATTTATCAATTTGTTCGCGCGGATTATTGCTTTGACATGTTTGATATAAGTATTAGAAAAAAATATTATAATTATTAATTTTTTTTTTTTTTTATAAACACGATGAAATAAAGGAAAAAATCTCTTAAAAAACATTTATAAATGATGAAATGATATTTTGCCAACCGAAAACTCTCTTGTGTTTTACTTAATAAATTAAATATCTAATAATTGAAGAGAGAGAGAGAGGGAGAGACAGAGATTTAGTGTTTAACTAACGTCTTAAATATATATAATATAAATATAGATATAAATATTCCTTACACTGCAAACCAAGGTCATTCGTGTCCGCGCAAAAAATCCACTTGCGTTTATAACTTATAGACGAGGGAAGGGAGAGGAGTCCGGCTCCGCTCTAAAAAAAAAAAGTTGTACAGGAGGGGAACGTAGCGGCCAAATTTTAGATCTCCAGTACAATTTCAACAGTCAGTGACAAGACAAAATTTAAAAAACCAAAAAATTTAAAATCCAAAATATTTAATAAAATAGAGCAGCATAATTATTTTTATGAAAGCTGCAACCTTTATCTTCAATTTAAGCATTTTTTTTAAATTCGATCAATTTCTTGAAAAGTTACGATTTTTTAAATGAAACACTTTTTACTCGAATTACTTCTTTTATGATATTTTTGATGGTTTCGCGGTGTGTTGTATTAACATTCGAAGATGTTTTTCAGGCTGATACTGGTATCAGGCTGCTCTCGAAATGAGCTGAATGAAGTGAGCTAAAATGTTCACGAAACGTCGGCATAAAAATGACACTAACGCGGTTCAAACTCGAAAAACATCTTCGAATGTTAATACTTCTTTTATATTAAAAAATTATTTAAACAAATACATTTTTTCAAAATGTTTTGATTGATTTGTAAAGTAGAAGATTTAAAGATACTACGTAAATTTTTTCAGAATTTTTTTATAATTGTAACATAGAGAAAAATACAGTGGGACATAAACGATCCTGGTTTGCAGATAAAAGGTGTTTGCCAAAAAAAACCTTTGCAATTTGAGGGATATATATAGAGTTTAAATATATAAATAGATAAATATATATAACGTGGACGAGAACTAAAAGATAAACTACATTACGTGAACTTAAAATTACATTCATAGAAAAAAACTGAAACTGATAAAATGTTTTTTAATACATACTCTTTTAAATAATAACTTTACATAAATAAGAGAATGTATTAAAACCGAATACTGACTGCTATTTAAATTGTAACTTTCACAAATAAACACAAGTATTTGTGCAATCTCATTTTAAATATCCATTAAATGCTACAATATAATCGCAAGGATGGACGTTCGCCAACGACACGTTTGATGTACCATTCTTGCGTGAATAATATTGTCACAGTTGAAGAGAATTCGCTTCTCAAGTTACAAAATATTTACTTGTTAAATCTACTTGATTGCAATCTAACGTTTTACTACACGATTCCATATTTTTTGATATCACGGTAGATTATTGGCAATATATACAAAATCCATCATATACTGTCGCGCGAGTGTAACTTATAGACATTTTTTTTATATTATCCGCACGAATTCTCTGTGGATCGTGAATGATATTTATGCAAACTAAATCATGCATAACGCGAATGCCGTAGAGTAACAATGTTTTGGAGCGCAATCTTACGTACATAATCACGCGATAGTTAGAGTAAAATACTTTATTATAGAATAATATAATATAAAATAAAACTGTCTTTTACTTTATTCCTGACGATTTTTCATTTGCGACACGAAAGTTTGTAGATTAATCACTTAAAGTTTCTTATTATTGATACACAAGTCTTCGAAAAAAATATCTTTGTGTAGATACGCTTTTATCAAAAAATTTATTTCTTATAATTCTATGATTATAAGATTATAACATAACTGATCTATTGTTTACTTAAATATTTTCGCGTTGCTCTCTTCACTAGATATTTGCAGATTTTCAACACTAAATCATTCAGAAAGTCACCATTAAAATAGTTCTCGTTGGTGGTATGGGATACTCTGTATTTACGTGGTCGGATTTCACGCCATAACAGCGAACGTAGATCTACAAAGTGTTAATGAATCCGGTTTGGCTGCTCGTTGATCCGCCGTCTCCACCCAACCTCTCTCTCCCATCCTGTTGATCGTCCAGCTTTCTTGGTTCCGATCCCGAAATATCACCGTCTATATTTGTTAAGGTGAATCCATATTTTGGCCCCGATTAGCCACTCGCGGCTGGACGCGGTTTAGCGCGCGATGGTTTATATTTGGGGCCCCCTTGTGGGAGCGTGCGACACAGCGCGGCGGAAAAGAGGAAGCGGGGGCTCGGAGGGAGTACGAGTGCGAGCAAAACAGAAACACGGGGGTGCACGACACAAGGGTAGGGAGGAGGAGAAAGCTCGCGGACGAATCGAGATCAGGATCGACGCGAAGAAAAGTAGTGGTACGCGACCAACCTTCGACTGCGGCTACGATTCGTTCGTCTCTTTCTCTTTTTCCTTCTTTTTTTAATTTTTCTTTTTGTATCGTTCTTTCCGCGTTCTTTGCGTTTCTCCGCAAACTTCATCGAATCTTCTTCAAGTTACTCTCTATTTTCTCTTTTATTCCGATCGTTTTTCGAAACTTTTTTTTTTTTTTTTTACTTCTCTCTTCCGGCGAAATTTGTCGCAAAACGGAGGTTGATGGCTACTTTTACAACTACTACACAGATCGTTCTTGCGGGAAATGAGCCGCGGGAGTTTCAGGAAGATAATGGTTAGTTTCGGTCTTTAATATCTATATATGTATATATACATATGTATATATATAGAGCAAATGTACTCTTTACGGGCTTTTTTTTATCTTAAAAGGAGACACAACAGTTTGTTTTAAGAACAAAACTAATATTTATTAAGAAAGAAAGGTGTTAGCTACAGAAAATAAAATGTGCGAGCTATCTCAATAATTGTAAAATAACAAATTTAAAATTTATTATTAGAGAGAGAGAGAGAGCGAGAGAGAGAGGTCATTTTATATATAAAATTATTACATATATATATATATAAAGATGTGTGTGGAACACATAGTTTACGTTATTTGCTAATGCATGCATATTTTTATTATTACTATTACTATTTGCTTGATTTCAGGCGAGTATAGAGTGGGAATCAAGTTCAACGATCAACATATTCCCGATTCGCCGCACAAGGTTTACATCTCGCCGGCGATGGGCGACGCGCACAAGCTCGAAGTCGCACAGTTCCCTGAAAACGAAGTGCAGCCTGACAAGCCGTCCACCTTTTTGGTGCGCAAGAACGGCGCCAAGGGTGATCTGTTCGCGAAGGTAAATATCGCCCTATCTCTGCACAGAGATAGCAATTCGTGAGAATGTAATATCCGCGACTTGCGATAAATCTCCTTGCGAAAGAGAAGAGGATGATCGCCGTAAATAACTCACGTACTTATGAAACGACGCTGCCACATCAGACCGCGTAGGTGGGACCGCGAACGTATTTTTACTGTGCGCCATGTGCACGTAGCTGGATGAGTCACTATGAAAGATTTCGACATAAAGTAGCGTCTTCTCGCATCTTTGATGACTCCTTAGGTTGTTTGCTTTAAACTTTACTCAAACGCTGCTTTTTCAGCTTGATTTTTAAGGCTTTTCACTTTTTATTTTGAAATAAAGGGTCTGTGTATTATACATAAATATTATATATATATATATATATATATATATATATATATATATGCGTGTGTGTACACAGAGTGTTTCATATGTTCCGGACCGGTTTAATTATTCGGAAAGTATGCATTTTTGAAAAAAATGTTTGAGACAAAAGTTGCCTGTACATATACATATACAGGTAACTCTCGTCTCACATAGCATGGTTAGTAGCACAAAAAACACGTTACGGAAACGTTTGTGCTAGTATCTATGCTATGTGGGGTATAACGCGATACTTGAACAACCCGGTCGATATAACGTGGTTTACAAATAGTAGTAAAATCTCGTTTTTTTAATTAAAACGACGTTGTATAGCGCGAGCGTCGTATAACGCGATTTATATAACGCGGCATTTCTGTGGAACGGAATATTCGCGTTATACGAGGGTTACCTGTATATATATGTACATATATATATTCTAAATTCAGCCGGTCCGGCACATACACACACACACACACACACACACAACCCATATATATACGTAATATTAGATATATATGTATTATTAAATATATAATATAATATTTAGAATTCTTTTTTTTTACATAAGTAAAGTAAAAATTATAAATTTTGAATACAATACTGCATATTTCATATATACCACAGAATAAAAAAGTATAAAAATATATAAAATAACGTAAAAATAATAGATTTTATGAAATAGATATATCACTTTTAACTTTGACTATGAGAAATTTGTGGACGAGAGCTAATGTCTATTGCATCGATCAATTTTTCATTGATTCATCAGATTGTGTCACCGAGCGGCGTTCAGGACGACTGCTTCATCCAGAGCATTGACGCGGACACGTACTCGGTGAGATTCATGCCGACGGAAAACGGTGTTCATCAGATTCACATAAAATTCAACGGAGTACACATCACAGGCAGTCCGTATCGCATCAAGGTCGGTAAGGTGGACGCCGATCCGGCGGCGTTACACGCTTACGGCAACGGTCTGAAGGAGATCAAAACTGGCCAGAAGACCGACTTTATCATCGATACCTGTAACGCAGGCAGCGGTGCATTGGGCGTCACTGTTGATGGGCCCAGCAAGGTCGCTATGGACTGCACCGAGGTTGAGGAAGGTTACAAGGTCAGATATACGCCCTTGGTACCTGGTGATTATTACATCAGCATCAAGTACAACGGCTATCACATCGTGGGCTCGCCGTATAAAGTTCCTTGCACAGGTGCGTGAATGTTTTCTTTCAATAATGTATAACATTATTGCAGTATGTAACAATGTGGAAATTTATTTATTGAATTTATTTTATAAAAACTAACTACATAAATATATTTGAGAACAATAAATACTGCTTATGTTGTAGGTGCTGACTTGGCGGAGAGAGGCGCGCAAGAGACAAGCTCAATTGTTGTCGAAACAGTGCAGAAAATATCGAAAGCTAAACAGACTGGACCAGTATTGCCATTATTCAAATCTGACGCGAGCAAAGTGTCAAGCAAAGGCATGGGTCTTAAGAAAGCGTACTTAGGAAAGCAAAATCAATTTACTGTAAACGCCGGAGACGCCGGTACGTTACCTTATCATTAGGCAAACTGAAACTGATTAAAAGATTCTGGCAGGGGTTGTGCAGAGACAATTAGCAAATTTTATTAAACTCACTGTTCTCATGTCTTCTTTGTATTCATTCACTCTTTAGCAAGAATCTTGTGCAAAACGATAATGCGCGTACAAAAACTGCGTTTCTGATATGCGCAATCAGCGTGCGAGTAACAGTTGGTAGTAAGAGAATCAAGTAGATTTTATATTTCACGATAGAAGTAGGTGAACTGAAAGAGTCGCTGAAAACTCTTTTACTTTTCCTTCTCTTACTTTTCCGTGAAAAGTAAAGGAAATTGTGAGAATAGCGAGCATGAGAATAAAAGGAATATGTAATATAATGATATTTGTGTGTAGTAAGATTTTGGAAAAAGACTAAACATACAAAATCTAACATTAATTTGTAGGAATTTCGTGACACTTAACCCACACAGAACAGAACTTCCACTAGACATTTATTAAATATCGCGTGGAGTTGACGTCTAATGTAGTTTTTGTTCTGTGCGAGAAGATATACAATACTCGAGATATCAAATATGTTGCACTTTAAATTCGTATTATTATTTATCAAAAATATTGAAAACGTGAAAAGAAAAGATAATCGTATCATCTTTATTTCTCCCATATAAATTCGGAGTTTATTTCACTCCTGCCGGATCTTAAAAAAACAGGATATGATTGAATCTTTGATTCACTTATATTAATATTTAATATTCAAAATCAATGCCAATCGAATTTATATCCGCAGGTAACAACATTCTCTACGTGGGTGTTTATGGACCCAAAGGACCATGCGAGGAAGTCTTCGTGAAGCATACAGGTCGCAACAACTACAACGTGAGTTACCTGGTGCGCGAACGAGGCGAGTACATCGTCATTGTCAAATGGGGTGACGATCACATCCCTGGATCGCCCTATAAAGTCGAAGTTTAGATTTCCAGCATCCAAATCAAACGCGGCGTGCATTTGCAGCCGCAAACCTGAGCTACATATTTTGATTTTTTATGTAAACTAGACGGTCATAGGATTACTTGTATAACTTCGCCAAATCAGAAACGAATTAAGTGCCAATCCAAACTTTGTGTATACTCGTATGTGATTCAGTATCAATAATTGGCGAAACAAAATCTGTACCTATGAACGATCTGATTTACATCGAAACAACGGTAGCATTGCTCGATGTTTAAAATAGTAGACTTAACTTAAGAGACAATTGTCGACGCTGACGATAAAATCGCGATATGACTTCTTGCCAACATATATATAGTTAGTTTACTCATTTTTCCAAAATTCTGGGGACAATTTTTGACAATATAGAATTATTAATTTTCTTGTCTGAGACAGTAGAGAGCCCGCGAATAAACGTCACGAGAATTTAAATAACGATAAAAAGAAATACGTAGGTCAATTATTCGTTCGTTCAAAATCACCAATTGTGCCTTTTGAGTCGACACAAATATACTTAAAAAGAGAGACATTTAAGTATATTTAAAGAGACATATTACACAAAGACACATTGTAAAGAGATGCATGTTATTCAGATCCTGATTACATTACGTTATATATGTTATTATCGGTTATTATAGATTATATTAAAAATATATTATAAAATTGATTATATATTATAATATACTATAGAAGTTATATAAATAAAGAATATATTTATTATACGCAAATTTTTCATCATTTACCATCCTTTCCTGTTTATCATTTTACTTCTTTTGCTCATATATCTAGTATATTACACAGAATAAAACTTAATAGAGTTTACATTATGATAAAATCATCACGCTAAGATTAACTGTTTTATTCTTTGCTTCTCCAGTATATATAATTAAAAACTACAATCATATGTAATCATATAAATCATACAAAATAAAAAAAGCATTTGTGCTAAGAAAAGAATTCAGTGAAAGAGTTTTGTACATAGCGCGTCAGGAATTCGAAGAGTACGATTCGTACGGCGCTTGTTGGCGAGCAACCGCCTCGCTTGCCCTCCGATCCCGCGCCTACTCTTCGAATTCCTGACGCGCTGTGTACATATTATACAATAAACTTTTTACTAATTATTTATATAAAAAGAATTATTTTTTAGAAAGAATATTATTGAGATGTGTGTGTATGTGTGTGTGTTCTTCTTTTCTCTTTACTGCATATTTTTAGCATCTCAAGTTAATGTTACTATTTAGCTACACTCACGCATAACATAAGCTGTTTTGAATTTTTTTTGTCTTCATGTCTTATTGAATAGATTACAAAGTAAGATAAAAGCAAAAAAATGTGGTACGTAAGTATAATCGTATCTTGATTGTTTATATTCCTTGAGACTAATTTATATCGCACGTTTGTACGAAACGGTGGCAAGCTTTCCGTTTGCAAGCGCGTTTGAAAAGCAGTTACACTTGTATCATTTCGAAAATTTAATGTATATCGATCGGCTCCTGTCAAACACACTTACATACAAGGCAATGCACCTGTCGGCATCTCGTCGTCTATATCGCACCTGTAAACCATAACGTTACAGCTGTATCATATTCGCACAATAGCATTAATTCATCAACGCGGGAACTTTCTTGTCTGCGATATCTCTATTGGCAAATAATTGCGCAATATTTTTTTGCCTTTTGATCTATACCATCGATATAAGATCTGCTTGAAACTCGATGTAAATGCGCACCCTCGATCTGTTAAAAGAAAATATTTGATATACATAATTGCTTGCTCTCTCTCTCTCTCTCTCTCTTTTAAACACAAAATAGAATTTAATCTTCGTAATTTTTACCTATTTTTCAAAAGTAATTTATCACACAAGTTTATAAAATTTTTGTATTTAGAGAGTGGTAAGAATAAAGAAGCTATTGTATTTTATAAAAAACATTTATTTATTTATTTAATTTAATGATTTACAATTCATTATTTATTAATTATTCTCAAATGTTTGTTATCATTCTCAAATAAAAATGTAAGCATTCTCAAATATAAAAATGTATGATATTAAGAAATTTGTATCTAAATTCTAATACAAGCGTACACTGTAGAGTAGTTGGCAAGAAAGGAAAACTTTTCTCTTTTACGCGCGATTTTACTCGGATTTAGTTGTAACTGTCGAAGAATTCTTTCTAAACGCTATGTCACTTGCTTTTCCTTCACCGCATTTACCTCAACGACGATCACCGCTTTATCATCGGTGGGACGTGTTTAGATATAGCATATACTGCTTCCGAGCCACATTACTGGCACGAAGACTCTCAACTCCTTGAAAAAAACTATTATAATATTTTATAATCAAACAAATAAAGGAAAAATGTTTTATAACAATGTATCATATTGATTTTAACTTTTACTTTAGTAACAATTATAAATGGTTTTTCAGTTAATTAGTAGAGAATAGAGAAGTAACACGTAATATGACAGATGTTATACTCTATTAACATCGATGTTATATAACTTTGTTTTATAATTGTAATATAATTATGTTATATACCCATTATATTGCTTGTTATTAGCTGATAATGACATTATAACTGTCATATAACATTTCTGTAACTGTATAACAGTTATATAACATTCTACTTGCATGTTATATTCATATTATATAACTGCAATATACAGTGAGGAAATTACAACTAACATGGATGTTACATGCAATGACTATGTTATATTACTTGTTACATTTGTTTTATTACGACAATGTTGCTGTTATATATTTGTGTTTGCTGGAATGTTATCACTATAACGTAATACAAATATACTTGATAGAAAATTAGTAAATTCTATAAATATAACTATTATTACACAATATTGTACAAATATCTAAATAAAATTCATAAAATAAATATAAATAATTATATTTTATTATAAAAGATTTCTATTATTTATTTGTCATTATAAAATAGCTTTTTTTCAAGGCGTCGAGGCTCTCGTGATGCGATTGAGTAGCGGTACTATACTCTGAGCGTGCTCTACAATCGATGATGAAGCAGGAACCGTCGTTGAGGTAAACGTGATGAAGACAAGATGAAAACAAAAGGCGTAGCGAATTCTTCAGCAGTTGCAACTAAATCCGAGTTGTTTTTTACTTTAACCGTGAGTAGAGGTAAAAACTGATGGTTGAAAGAAAGTATGTGTAGAGAAGAAACTCTTTCGCGAAATTATTTTCTTGCTTTGCACACAGTGTGTACAGTTTTTATTTAAAAAAAAATAATTTAACGTATAATGCACATGTTTTGAATTATTATTGGGTAATATATATATATATATATATTTATTGTTACAAGTTTTTTTTCAAATTAAGCTCTGTAAAACTTTTCTAAGAAAAAAAGAATGTGTGTTTGTAAGAAATGGAATAGCATTTGCTTTCTTTTAACTATATATGATATACGTTTTGTCCTAATTAAGCAATTTATACTCATACTCTTTACTCTTTTCTATGCAATTCAGTCACGTAATTATAATATTTATCTTACCAATCTTTCTCACCTTTAAATATTTCATTACCTCGAAGAGTCGGATTTGTTAAAACCTGCCGTAACTCGAAAATATTCGTTCGACTGCACCTTTCTCGGCCACGCGCGCGCGCGCGTGTGTGTGTATGTGCGCGCGCGCTCGTGTTCTCTCAGGAGAGAAATCCATGAACAAAGCAGTAGAATATCAAAAAAAAGAGGAGAAGGGAGGGAGTACAACTCTGAGGGGAGCAACAGCCTAAACTACAGAGAGAGACAAGGGGGAAAATCGACGTGGAGAAGGAATGCGCACCTGGGATTCTCCTCTCGCGGCGACGCCCGCAAAGGTGCCACAGGATGAGAGGACCGAGCGGCGGGGATAGCCAGATCCTCTCAGACGCGGCCTGTCCCCTCCTCGACGGGATTGTAGGCGGCAACCCGCGGCTGTGTTACGAGTCCGCAGGCGTCGGGAAAACGAGTGATCGACTTGCGCTGTATGCGGGGGGCACGTCGAGCGAGAAACACGCCCCACCGCGACGGCGTACTTCTCCTCCGAGACCGACACATCGGTAGATTGAACCAGACGCTCGCGCGGTCGGTTGCCACGTGTACGTTTTTCTTGTACCTGGCGCCGCGCGCGGCTGCTGATATTTTGACATTTATATCATCACGACTCAACACTTGACTTTAATCGCATAGGTTTGTTTGACCAAAAAATTATTTAGTATGTTCCTGAATACAAATCTTTTTTTATGTTTATGTTTTTACCAATAATTTGATAAATTTAACATATTTGATACAAAATGTTTGTACGGATATTGCATGCTTGACATTATTCTTATATATAAAAATATGTATTGTTTGTTTATTTCACAAATAAGTAAGAAATTGAAATTGGCATTTGAACTGAATTATAATAGTAAGAAAAATATTAAAGAAAAATATATTATCAAGAGATATTAAAAAGATGGTCTCTCAAACTTTTTTTAAATCTCAAATTTTTATGTCTTTTCCACATTTACCTTTTATCTGTGATTAAGATTGTTAACGGTTATTCTCGTGTTCTTCTCTTTCTCTTTTTCCAACAGTCTATATTTTCAACAACAATTTCCTTCCTATACCATTATAGTGATTAGGAAGTATCTCCAGTAGTTAGGCGTTGCGGTAGTGCCGAGCAGTTTTACTTCTATGCAGCGGGGTAGGACCAGAGTTCAATGACTCAGAAAGGGAACAGAATGGGTGAGACATGCGTGATGGAAGACATCGTTCGCGGCATTTCGTGGGATTGACTGCCACAGAAACGAGCTGGTGGTAAGCTTCCCGTGCGTGAACTCGCGCGTAAGTAGGAAAATGCGTCGGCGGCGCATAGAAAGCTCTAGAAGAGAGAGGCGGAGCTTTCGTCGCCTCCTCCTACGAGCCCACCTTTCGCGGCAGGTTGTAGTCCAGCCGGATTTTCCCGGACCTTTTCCATTCTCTCTCTCTTTCTCTTCTTTTTGTTCTCACCATCATCGTTCCACTTTCGAAAACCGAGTTTTATCGACTGTCTCTCACCAGCAACGGTGAATCCGCAACATCCGACCTGGTTTTTTTAGTTCTTCTCTATCTTCTTAGGTTAGGACTCAGTTGTGAATATGTGAAAACCGTTAGGAGCAGTTAAAAAAAACTTCGTTATATAATAGCATCGGTATAACTGAAATATGGTCAATTCAACAAGACTTTAAAACTAGTGTTGGAAAATATCATCGAGCTCTTGTATCATAATGTAACGATAAAAGCGCGATATGTCTGAATTCAAGAAAATGAAGCGTCATTTTTCCCTCTTTGCGGTGACTTCTTTTCAACCCTATCCCCCGGTCTTAACACGATATGTGTAACTTTTGAAGTTTATATAAAATAACATTCAAACATTAAAAATAATTAAAAACTCCCTTATACAGTAAAAATCTCATACTAAAAGACGCGCAAATTTTACTAATTAAGTTCATGGAGAGAAACTATATTCAATTTTTTTCTGTATTTCGCACACTTATCCATAACAGTTGCAATAAATTGATAAAGAAATCGTCTTTATAATTCCAACTAAATAAAAAATATCGCTTTCTCATTATCAGCATCTACGATCTCTTTAATTAAATTCTAAAGTCAATAATCTGGCCCAACTCCTTTCGTCCACTTCCATATCTTTCTGTTATAACATGTTATTTATTTAATGTGTAAACCATCTCGGCAAAGTAGATAAAGACTCAATAGACACTCTTTTTGTCGCAAAGGGTTGTGTGGCGAACCACCATCTTTGCCGAACGACCTCATCGCTCTTGCGGCCCAAGTGCATCCCTCTTCGTGCGCTCGCGTACACAGATTCTTTCCCACTCTCTCCACCATACAGACCCGTACAGAGCGCAACGTCGAGCTCCACCTTCGTCGTCATTTCAACCCGTCGCTGCCTTCTCCACTTCCGTCTTCGCCACCTCCACTTCCGCGTCCGCCCTTCCCGCCCCTCGATGTCTACCACGAAGCTCGTAAACCCTCAACGCGCCATTTTGAGTGCACCCTTTTCCCTCTCCGCGGTGACCTCTTCCTTGTGTGACTCTATCCGCCGCACCGGTGTCGCTTCCGTTAAAGCTTTAATCAGAGCTTCTTCAGAGAGAGGTAGTATACCGAGATAAGAAGCGGAAATTAAACGCTTAGACGTTTACGAAATTCGCAACGCCGCAGTATATTTTTCAGAGAAGTTCGACTAAACTCACTGAAACACGCGAGTGTATCGATACAATCTTATTCGACAGCTCTTATTTTTCTGTTTCAAGATGTGAGATAAACATATTATTTCGCTTCGTTGTTCTCCCTATCTTCTTCCTCCTTTTAATTGATTTTAAATATTATAACCGAACATTTTAACAACCTTTTAAAATTTTCCGATACTTGTTTAGATTCCAAATGTTAAATTGATCCAGTTCGAATGATAGTTCGATAAATAATAAAATATGTTTACACGTACCTGATGATGTCTTCCCCCCTTTTATCTTTCCGATGAAGATATATACCACCAATCAATCTGGACGGGAAGAAAGTTTCAGACAAACGCAGAACGCAATTGCATATTTATCAATTTATTTTCGATTACAGCGAAACAGCGATCGAGGGATTTATTTTTTTTCTTGATCCGTATTTTTATGATGTGTAGTTACATTAACATTAACTTTCTGGTGTGTAGCGCGAAAATTGACTGGTTCGGAACATTGATAAATTCTTGATTTTCTTATCTCGTCGCGAAAGAATATCGATTGTTTTCAACACGGAAACTGCGATTCAAAATTTTGGCAACATGTCGTCAAAACAGACAAAAAAGAAGAGGAAGAACGGATCATTTAGAAAAACAAAACCTTTCAAGGAAATCTATCACAATCATGTAACTGCAAATTATTTCGATCAAAAAAGAGGAAATGCAATGTGAGGTCAACAGCAATTAGCTTACTTTTTTTTATATTATCCTTTCGCTTAAGAATCTTTAACTTTATTTGTGAAACGTAGATACTGTGGAGATTGTACAACAAGAGTTTTGTTGATAAGAATAGATATCGCTTGTGTATCGCAAGTTTTGTCGCATGTTTAACAAACGATGATTCGCTTTTACATATATATACATACATAAATATATATATATATATATATATATATATGTATGTATATGTATATACTTCAGTCTGAAAAGTTTATAGTACAAGATAATAATTATATTATATGTTAATAATTATATTTGACGCTTTTAAAAAATAATAACCTGTTTTAAGCGTTCTTGTAATTGAAAAATCCATTAATATCAAAATAATTATTAAAATATAAAAAAAATTCTCAAAATAAAAAAGTTTCTCCTCAAATCAGAACGTACGCATTAAATGCCACCATAATATTTGCCAGCAATACAAAGAAAATTGCCGAGAACAAATTAATAAATAAAACTCAGTATTTTTACACAAAAAACATAGTCGTTTGTAGTTTGTAATATCAATAACTTAAAAAAAAGAAAAAAATAAACACATGTAAATAAAGCGTAAAATAGCAAACCTCATCGTTCTTCGAGAAAGGACGGTTTGTTTTTTTTGTTTTTTTTTTTGTTTTTTTTGTTTTTTTTTTTAACGAATACGGTCACAATCTACGTAGTGATCGCGCCGAAAACTGCGTCGAATGGTCCTGAAGGGCGACACTTAATTGGTAAGTCGATAACTATCAAAGTCCAATTTACTATCACTAACATACATTAAACACGTGTTAATTCTGGGAAGTGTTAATTTATGTAACGCGGAAACATATACAAATATTTACAGGGAGCGTGAAACGCTCGTTGATAATAATTGCTCGTTGCACGGCCGATCCCAGATTTCACTTGGTCGCGGATCCTGAAAGACACCAGAACCGGCTCCTTCACATGTAGATGCGCCGCAAATCGGACGGCGACGTTATCATGTTGCATTGAGGACAGAGTTTCTTCGCGCCCTGCAACAACAGCAAGAAACCCTTCGGTTCGCGACGAATTTCGGAACTACAGTCATCTTCTGACGAACTTGATGATACAAATAAACATTTCAAATATAATGCTGGGTAATTTCAGTCGTTCAAAAACTCGATCGAATTGCACGAATTTCAAGCTTTCAATCTCAATTGTTCGACCATAAAAAAAAGTTGTCAAAATTATTCGAGTTATTCAAAATCTTTCTTCTTCGAACTAGTGAAATAATCCGAACATGGAAATCTCTCGAATCTGTTGTCTGAATTTCTGGTTTAAATCATAATTTAAAAAAATTAAAAAAAGAATGAACAATATCTTTAAAACTTTGTTTATGTTGTAATATAAAATTGAAACTCACCAGAGTGTGTAGCCAGCACTGTTCACAATGTACATGCCAACAGCAGACTGAAGTGACTGGTTTTTTGTATTGTTCCTGAAATGAAAACGTGAAAACGGCAAAAATAAATAATAAATCCATTTTCTATCTATTTATATATACATCAAAATAAAAAATATATATAAAGATATTTATTTTATTATTTTAGTTCGGTTAACTACAGATCATCATTGACCTTTCGCTCACAGACATTGGTCTCCCAGACTCAAAAATTGCGCATCAACATTTCTAGTAAAAATTAATTTTTTTAGACGATTATATCTTCAAAACTACTAACAATTTTTTCAATTTGTTTGTTTTTGTTATAGGCGCAGAATTGCTCAAACTTTCGATTCGAAAACCAAAATTGAAAAAATATTGATTTTTCGCAGAGATGTTTAAAGTCGCGTAAGTCTCATAGATCCAGTCTGTCTGACTCTCGTAAGTCATTTTTGAAGTCTGTCCGCGAAAGGTTAATATAATTGCTAAGAAAGCTGTTACATTTCATATTCATAGATCGAAAGGGAAGAGAGTATCTCGATTTTCCGTTACATTAAGATGAAGTCGCATCAAGTGCGGTCAAATCGTATCTGGTATTTGATTTCTTGCCGTTGCGACACTAAAACGCAACACGTACGGCATGGTCGATGAACAAGATAAGAGTTACTCGCGATCACGAGTCCAATCAGTCGTTTATCTATCTCTTTTTCTTGAGTTTCATAAAAGAATAAATTTAAAATCTATTTGCTCGTAATCGCTTGCGTTACATAAACGACATTCCTCCGCTAGATCAGCGAACACGTCCGTTATTTATCTTGGATGATAACGAGTGCGGTCGATACACATGAGCATTTTACTATCGTTACGCTAGGAACAAGATCGCCGTCTTATCTCACGCGGCGACGAGTTATTTCGCGATGGCAAGCGCACAATAACAAAGTACAAAGCGAGAAGTCGGGGGCAGGTAATAAGTATCACGTCAACGATGGAAACTAATAACGACGATATTACACAACGTAACGTTCCTTCGTTACTTGGTTAAATGAATGCGTTGAAGGAATAATTTAGTTGTCGATCTACATATTACGTCACTTGCGCGGATAGGAAATACGGTCGAATTTTATGCGCCGCTTTTATATCTCGTCACAATTATTTACGAGTCGCAAAGCGCTTGTTCCCAGGACGAGGACACAAAACGCGACAAAATAAATGTAATGTATAATAACATGTATAACACGATAAGGATTTAATAATGTGAAATACAATAAACAGTGCCGTTTTCCAGACTATTTTTCGTTATGTTTGATTCGATTTTTCGCATTAAAAACGACACATCTATATCAATAATTTAATTACAGTATTATTGTGTCGATAATTTAATAAAGTGTGTAATTTAATTTGAGACTTAATTATAACCATGCTCTATATCCACATTTGAAAGTTAATCGGTATAATTTTTGCGGCTGGACAATAATCACGTTTTTCCGAATTCGAAATATGACTTTTATGTATTATTACGATTGTTTTATTTTTTCTGAAACAAACGCAAGTTAAAGTATATTATTCAAATAATAAATCGTGTCATAAAATTTCAACAATTTAACAAGGCAGCAGTTCGCAATGTGACATTGTTATTTTGTAGAAAAGATTCGAACTCTATAATATATTATTTGTGAGCAAATATTAAACATTATATATGTGCATAGATCAAATCCGTTAAACTCACCATACAAATGAGGCATTTGAAGGCTTGGCTGCGCATTTCGGCTTCGAGCTCTCGGATACGGCCGCGAAGAGCCTCCACGACCGGAGTTTCTCTCTTGGGCGACGCTGAGACACCCTCGTCAGGATCGTTTTGCTGGCTGACGGGCGTCGCGGCGCCTGGCTCCGGCTTTACTTCGACCAGGCCCTGCGCCGACAGTCCGGAGTCCGGAGTTAATTGCTGTGGTGTGTGCGGCGCGTTCGGCGAAATGACGGCCTCGCGAAGAGCATCCCGTTCCTTTTGCTCGCGTGGCGTACCGTCGATCCGCGGCGCGACCACATCCGCTTCCGAATATTGGGCCGGTCCGAACTCGGTAGCGTCGTCGCCGTCGACTACCAAGTCCACGTCCTCGTCCTCCTGGTTGCCGCCTTCGCCACCGGGGCGATTGCTCGACGAGGTGGCGAGACCCGCGGCTGCAAAGCAGAAGGACCGCCGAGCTATTAATGCGGTGACTGCACAGGATGTTGAAATATAGAAAAGAGAACTAAATAATAATAATTCAACTTGTCTCTCATCTATAGATAAGATAATATTAAGTTTCTTTTATACTGTTTTACCGAAACCGCAGTTGATATCAATATTTTTTATATTTTGAAGAACGACATATTTTTTTTCTCACTCTCTCTTAAAATAAAAAAAGAAATCAATAGAAAGATTAAACACACACACACACAGAAAAAAAAGAGAGAGATGTGATGAGAGTTTTAATTCTATATTGCAAAATATGTCATTTCTATGGAAACGCTGGTACAGATTGTTCCAAATTTACATTTAAATAAAAAATACTCTGGTTATAAAAAAAACATAAGAGAGAAAATCTTTTACATATTTATAACCTACTACATATTGTTTTTATATTGTTCTACATTGTAATCACAAACAAAATGCTTCCGCGTCTTTCATATGTTCGACACAAACATGTGTGTATGGTTACAAATTGTAATTATCCAATATTCAGATAATTCGATAATTTATATTGCGTATTTTTTATTTTATTCTCTCTCGCAAACAGACTTTAAGCGTTCTAAATCGACGTTTTTATGCAAATACGTGAGCAGTAACAGATTCATAATATCCGTAAGTTTTTTTGTGCGCATATTTTTACGGTGGTTTTGTTGCAATGTAATTTTAAAACCGATGACTTACCGGAGAATCCGCCGACGAGCAAGGAAGTGGCGCGCACTCGTCTCTGGCCGGCCCATTCATACTCCTCGAAGGTCTCGGCATCACCTTCGACGTCGACCTCTTCTTCGTCAAGATTCGCGTTCTGCCCGGTCGGATTGCCGTTGTTCTGCTTGTTCAGGCAACGGTCAACATGCTGATTCCACTCTTCCGGAGTGCCCGACAGTCTCTCGCTGCAAACTGGACAGGACGCCTCGTCTGCTTTTCGCTTCCGATTTTTAACGCGTATTCTGGCCTGCGCAAAAGCAATACATCGCTGTTAATCCAGATGTAATTAATAAGTAAATAATGTGTAGACAGCTTCAAAATTTGTTAAAATATAAGAACGTTGATAATGGCTGAGAGCATGTTCTCAGTCGCTTTGTTACTTTGTAAAGTGGTGGTCAAGTTTTTGTTCCTACATCATGAACTTGTAGTTTGACACCCCTATTGATGACCATTACTACATAGATTAAATATATTGAAAAAGACCTAATCCGAAGGTCGAAAACGTTTTATACGACTTTGTTTCAATAAACTAATATTACAACTACACACACCAATATCCGTGTTTGCTTCAAACAGCCATTATCAACGTTCTAATGTAATTAATGTTAATCTAAATGTAATGAAAAAATGTAGTCTCTTCTGCAATAATAATATAAGTAAAAAATATATATATAACCGTTTATATTATTTTATAAATAACAATATATTAAGAATAGGTACACAACAAAACCACAGTTTTTAATAAAAAAAAATTTGTAAAAATATATGACTGATATAAGCACAATGCATTAACCTGTCTGTTAGCCTTGACTCTTTTATACGTCTCCCATCTGCCTTGCGGTGTGCCGTCTGCTGCCGATGGCGTGTGTAGCATCGGGCCATGGGGTAGATCTTGGGGATGCGTCTGCGGCAAGGTCGATCTCGGAGGTCGAGGTCGTGAGAGCGTCGAGGAGATCTTGTGAAGCCGATCAACCTCTTGCGCAAAATGTTGCTCTAATTCTTGCGGCCTGACTGTTACCCCACACACAGGGCAACAAGGTGGATCCGAAGGAAATTTTTTCTTGCCTATAAGCCAAAAAAACAAAAAAGGTACCCGTGAAAATTATAAATTGTTACGTGCATCAAATAAGAAGCATCTTGTTCGCAACAAGAAGATAAAGAGAGAAATGTCTTCTTGTTTGACAATTAAGCCGCTTAAGAGACGTCTTTGATGTCGATACAACCACTGCAACGAAAGAACAGAAACACTGATGGCTGGCCGCTCCGTCTCTTACGGAAGACATCGACTAACGCGATTTAAAAAGTATTCAACTCGCGTCGTAATTACTTTCCGCAACGAGTCGTCGAGTTCTGGCTTCTAGGGTCGCGCGCGCATTGCATTAAGCTCAGAAACGAGCCGCGAAACGAAAACCATCGTCGTAAGTCAACGCGCGCCGCGGCTCGTTTGCTTGCAATTTATTGCCCCGTAAAACAGCAAATAAAAGACAAAGAAATGGAAAGAAAAACATCCAGAAGGAAGGATTAGAAAGGAAAAACAAGCGCGGTGCAAACAGCCGCGCAATAATCCAACGGGATACTTCTGTTTCCGAGGCTTATTTGCGCGCACATAATCGCTCATATACGCATAGAAATGCGTTAATTTAATTGTGAAAACTTGTTGTCGTCTGCGTCCCTCTTGATTCGTCGAAGCTCAATCTGAGATAAATGCGTAAACTCGATGAGGGAAAGTTCGCGGACAGATATATGCCGTATTTCGCTGCGTGTATCATGTTGATCGGTCGTATCTCGAGCTAGTTTCCTAACATCGTATTGTATATAAGAAAAAGTATGAAAACTAATTTTCTCTACACCGGGAGTAAATATATTTCTTAAATAAAATATTTACATTAGAACACAGAAAGAAGAAGAACAAGATGGCAATTATTCATTTTGATTGATCAAGTCGCGCATTTTATTCGAATGATCGATTTCGGCGTGTAACGCTTCTCGCCCGGCTCCGAAAAGCGACTTGTTTGAATCGAAATCTAAATTGAAACCTAAACACAATGGTTCGCTTAAAAATAATAATTACATCCACGGGTCTCTCTAATTTATTGACTGAGTATAACGCGCGAAATTCTATTTAAAAACGGAAACTGTACACACTTAATAACTATTGCGAATTTTGCACAAATTGTACAATTGTCTTTCCCGCTCCAAACGATCCAATCTATTTTTACGTTTTGACTATGTTAGAAAGTTTCAGACATCCTATATGTGAGTGTGTAGTCAAACTGTACGAGCGGAAGAAGAAACAGTTACGAAAAGAAACAGTAAGTTTGTGTGTTTATAAAAATCGCGTTTGAGGACACGGATATTTATCTTACGATACGATATAATTAGATAATACATATTTTTCTCTCTCTCACACACACACACATTGGTTAGAAATTTAGAATTCACAACAAAATAGTGTAGTTATGTTGGCAATGCGAGAATGCATAAGTACATATAATGTATATACACGTACTTAGTATGCGTTTCGCAATTCCTGAATGATAATCGCAGTCTGTTCCATATCAAATAACTGAAGCCGGCGGCGGAATTAACGTCGCGACGACGCGATAGAGTCGATTCGAAATAGGAAGGAGCAAACAAGTCATTAGGTATTACGTCCTTATGACCATGTTTTTTTTTCACTTAGTTATTGCAAACTAATAACTCTATGATATGCTATGGAATAATCCCCAAACTTTTTCAGAGAGTTTATTACTTGTAATATCTAATATCTAATAAGTTTTCAAGTTTTTAATAAAAACACAAATAATAAAGTTATGGTTTTTTGATATATAATAAAATAGTTTTCTAACAATATAAAAATTAGAATTAGAATATTAGTACACAATATATCAACAAATGTTTTTTGAGAAAAAAAGTATAAAACATTTATCCTCGCGCGCTCGAATGATTTTCTAATTATCGCAAAATTATTCTTGTTATTAATACAACGGTTATTAATATCTCGATTGCAAATTTCCTTGTAATAATGGATTGCTCTTTGTCTGCCGAAAACGGCCATGAATAGATTTGACAGATCGACAAACCATAACTCGGAAATCTAGTTAGGTAAGCGTATCTACTTACGCGACTATATCAATGTCAGAACAAACGGCTAATTGAATTATCGCGTTTAAAATTGCGTCTTTCCTTCCGGTAATAAATACACGGTGACAAACGCGGCAGTTTGAAAGCTTTAATTAGCAAGCCGTTGTTAACTTTGAGCGAAAATAATTTTGATTTCTAATGACAAATTATTTCGATCGCTTTAATTGCCGATTAAAACGTTTCTTTAACGATAATTATCGATAATTCGAAGAAAGTGTCTTTTATTTATTTTCATTAATTGACGAATTATTCGCGAATGAAAATGCGCCGGCAGCTGCAAATCACACGTCGCGGATCTTACAAGAAACGCGTAAATGCAACATGGGAATTCAAGAATCAGGAAAAATTATTACTTCCCGACTTGAATTCCATAGAGCGTACAAAAATAAACGTTCTGCTGAGTGCCCGCACCTGCTGCTATTTTCTGACGATACAACGCCTTAGTCTAGCTTCTCGAAAAACCAGAGTCCCGTGAAAAATAATCGTCGTATCTTTCGCGAGTTTGTTACATTCAAATAAGCTATTCTCTAATCTTGCATTTTAATTATTTTACTATTCTGTTTTAATCTAATGTATTTGATAAAAGAGTGTTTTTAACAGATCGAGTATGTATGAAAATTAATGACAAAAAAAAGAACTTGAACATCGCCGAATAAAAAAACTGCAACACATATTTCTGTCAGATGGCAAATAAATTTTTAATTCATCAAGTTTTTTTTTTCATGTAACACAATTTGAGCGATTTGGCTCGTTTATTTGGACAAAAAATAACACGGTCGTGCTCGGGGAGAGAATTTGATCGCGCGACAAATGTTTCATGTCGAAGGCGCAAAGACGGGAACATCCCTCGTCCTCACAAATCTTGACCCTCGAGGGACGACTTGTAAAAATAGACGGGGAGACTCGCGATGTTCTCGCGGTTTCCGGAAAGAAAAGATAGACAGCTTGTTTGCATGTAAAGTAGTATACTTACCAAGATCACTGGAAAATAATTTACCAGCAAATTCCTTTATAAATATATGTAACTCTTTTGTGTAGTTCAAATAAATGCGCACAAAATAATGTATATTCGATAAACAACGTATTAGAAATTGTAACAAGTTACTTGTGAGATACCTACTGATTATCCAGTCGTAAATACAAAAAAATGTTATTTGCCAAAGTATTAGACGCGAAGCAATTATTATCTTTTTTGTTTATTTCATATAGTATCATAGTCGAGTAATTATACACAGTTTTAAACGAACAAAGTAACGAGACATTTAGCAAAAAACATTATTTGTCTGCGTATTTTTTCGACAACCTTGCGTTCATAATTTGTTCTTATAATGTTTCTAGCATAAATGTTTTTTTTTTTAATATCGTCGATATTAGCTGTCGATGTCTTTTAAATTTCTATTCGAATGTGGAATATATTTACTGACCGCGGTTAGAGAGCAGGATCAGAAATGATATAATTTGATTCCAGACTGCAAATGCGCACGAAACGTTTGTGCAGTACAAACACGAACGCCACTATTTGACGAGCCGTACTGGACGCATTACAGTGTTTTAATATTTTACGTTTTAATAAAATGCTTTAATATTAAAGCTTATTGCGATATATGGCAAAATGGAAATATCATTGAAAATTAGATATTTCGTTAATGGGATCATTCCGTCGTGATTTTCTCTGTCGGACACCAACATTATTTGATATATTGTTTATAACCCGCGTTTGTAATTTTCACGCTTGTGTCCGCATTGTTTATAGTTATGACATTTTTATGCGGATATTTAAAGATCTCAGACATATCTTAGATGTAGAAAAGAGAACAGTCGCGTTAGGAGAAAAATTGTTCGGTTCGCAATTCAGTCATCATCGTCTGATATTTTTTTATTTACTTATACATTTTGCATATAAATAAATAAATATTATACAAAGAACATAAAAAGGAATCAATCAGCATTGCGGAAAAGAGGCAACAATGAAATCTCTTCACGTACTTTTGAAAGCGAGAGAGAAAAATACATACGTAGAATAAATTATATAGAAAAACAAGCATACATAGTAAATAAAAAAAGAACATGAATATTCCGCATGACAGCGAGTCGCGCGGAAATCTTATCTGTGCGCCTTGATTAGCTATTAAAAACAGTGTAATATTCTTTACTTATCCCAAACCTTTCAGAGCTGACTTGCGCACTGTTGTAATATCGCGACACCCTCTATACACACGACCGCGTTTTTTTTATTTTGGCACAAGAGACGGGGTGAGTGGTGAGCGTCTCTTTTAATTAAAGATACGCGACCGCTCTATCTCGAGACCACCCTGGTGTCGCTTTAAAGGGGACTAAGTGTAAATGATAGCGCAGTTATGGTCACGGCCGGAGAGAGATAGCTTCGCAACAAGATCCAGGGACGAAGGTGGCAGCGAAGTATTGTCCTTTAATTCAAGAGAAAAGACTTGCAACAAAACACGTTGCAGAAAAGAAAAAGAAAAGCAAGCAAACGAAATTCCGGCAACCACAATCAAAAGTAAAGAATGGAGACAATTAAGAAAAAAAGTTGGTAAAATACAAAATTTTTTAAGTATCTAACTATATAAAAATACGAAAAAGAAATATTGCATTTATATAAGAATGATAAAAGTATGATAAACAAAAGAAATAGAAAAAGATGAAAGATATAAAATTGAATATTTGCAACAGAGTAAGTATTGGAATATAAAACAACATTCTTTCTCTTGTCTCTCTCCTATATATATATGTATTTATTTATTTATTTATTTATTCTTGACCTGTCGTTATAAATGCAAGAACCGTGATTGCGTCAAAAAAATATTGTATACAGGGTAATATATTGGTATTTGCGCTGCGTCAAATATCAGATGTTATGCCGCATAGATCAGAAAAAATAGTAAGAGTGGAAGTAATTTGCA